TCGCTCTGTCCTCGGGTCGGCCTGTGACTGTTCCGCCGCTGAGCTGGTGTATGACGTCACCGTCCGACTTCCAAGGTCGGACAGCCCGCTGGCTGAATGAAAACTTTCTACTCAAAACTTTCTTCTCAAAGAAGCCAAGTCCTCTGGTCCGGACAATATTCCGGCCAAATTCTTGAAAGAATTGGCGAATGAACTATCCACACCATTGGCACACATATTCCGCTCGTCATTCGAATTAGGGAGACTGCCATCGTAATGGAAGGCAGCAAGTATCTTTCCGATATACAAGGGCGGGGCTCGCACTAATGCTAACAATTACCGGCCTGTTAGTCTAACCTGTATCTGCTATAAAATAATGGAGGCCATAGTTAGGAAAGCAACTATGAAGTTCCTGGAGCAGGGCCATTTACTCTCAAACCTGCAGCACGGCTTCAGACAGAACCGCTCGTGCTTTACCAGTTTATTACTCTCGACGGAGCAATGGACTCATCCACGGGACGAGGATGGTAGGGTCGGTGTCATCTACACAGACTTCAAGAAAGCGTTCGACAGCGTCCCACACAAACGCCTAATCTACAAACTTTCTGAAATTGGGATAAGAGGAAGGCTGCTGACATGAATAACGGATTTTCTTAGCGGGAGATCACAAACCGTGTGCATTGAGGCCTCAAGGTCAACCCCATATCCCCGTTCTAAGTGGTGAACCCCAGGGCTCCGTCGTAGGGCCGTTGCTATTCCTGATTTACATTAACAACTGCGTCGACGACCTGGGATGCAGCGCCATCAGGTTTGCTGACGATGTTAAGCTGTGGAGACCCATCAGATCTGACGTAGACAGGTACGCGCTTCAAGACAATCTCAACCGTCTGAAGAGTTGGTCAGCTCGTTTGCTCCTTAATTTTAATGTGGACAAATGTGTGGTCCTGAGACTCCGCACCAAAAAGACGAGTAAGGAGGACGATTCCTTTCAATACGTCCTTGGTGGTCAGCCCCTTTCAAATGTTGTGGAACAGAAAGACCTCGACGTCATAATGACCTCCGAGCTGAAACCATCATCACAGTGTCAAAGGGCAGCCAAAAGTGCGATAAGGATGTTATTTGCGCTGATGCGAGGATTTGTGCAGATCGATAAAGAGCTATTCGGGAAAACCTATGGGACATTCGTCCGGTCTCACTTAGAGTACGCAGTCTAGGCCTGGCGACCGTGGTTGAAGAAAGATTAACAACGAATGGAAAGGGTACAGGCGATGGCTGCGAAGATGGTCAAGAATCTTCATCATCTGCCTTACGAAACCAGGCTGACCGAACTAAATCTGTTTCCTCTAAAGTACAGGCAACTGCGCGGCGATCTCATTCAAACCTACAGGAATGTCAGAGGTCGTGAGTGTGCCCTAGACTTTGGTGAATTCTTCGAATTGGCCGGGACTGACCGCCTGCGTGGTCATCCCTTCAAACTGCAGAGGAAGCTGGCCCATTCGGACGTCCGACGGAACGCCTTCTCTCACAGGGTCATTGGGGCATGGAACGAACTCCCTGATGTAGTGGTTCTTTCCGAAATTATCGATTCCTTCAAGTGTAGACTAGATACTCATTTGTTGAGAAACTACTGTACATACAATAACGATTGTTTTAGCGGCGGCAGTTCGCGCATGGTTCACATTTACTGCTAATTTTTTAACTTTCCGCATTTGCTGATGTAATTGATGACTTTATTTCTGTTTATCGATATGAATAGGGAGCTCAAGGGCGAAAGCCTCATTCCCTTAATAAACTGCCTTAAACTGACTTAAACGCATGCGCGCACTCTTGACATTGCAGACATGAGCACGTAGTTGGTTTGTTCGGTTTAAAGTCCTTCGTTCTTAATGTGAAACCGTGGCCGCGGTGGTTACTGTGATATACCATCCCTCCGCATATTCGATCACTCGTGGAACTAGCTCCCAAGAGAGATGGCGACGGCCGACAAAATTTGCATGTTCAAAAGAACAATTGCTCGCCTAATTTTCGACAGAAATAGGCTTTTATAACATGACTACACACAGCCCGTTCTGTAAAACACTTAAATATACCATCCCTCCGCACTAACGTATATTAAATACTCGACCACTCCGCTTCCGACCATCTAGGCATTGACCGGGTCAGTTCTCGAAACTATAGCTTTCACTCAGTGAGATGTTACTGTTGCGATTCGGCGTTTTCGTCAGTCTTATAGTCCATGCCCTGATGGTGTCCCAGTAAGCATTTTAAAAGCCGATGCAAACACGATCTTCCCATCCCTCTTATGCAAGATATTTAATCCCGCTCTTGAAAGTGAAGTTTATCCTACTTCGTGTAAGGAGCCATACATTTTCCTTACTTCCAGGCATTGCCAATCTACGTCACTTGACCACTTTTGGCCAACAAACATCATCCAAACAGTTTCAAAAATCTAAGAGACATTGGTCAAAGACAAGATGATGTTTCACTTAACAGAGAATAACCTACTGAGCGCTGCACAGCATGGATTCATCAAAGCTCGGTCTTGTGACACCTGTTAGCTCTCTTTCTATGACCATGTTATCCAATGTAGGGATAATGGATTTGCACTTTACATGGTGTATTACGATTTCACTAAGGCTTTTTATCGTGTTACCTATGCTATTCTTTTCTCGAAACCGTCCTCTTCCGGAAAAAGTGACAAACTTCTGAATTTTATATCCCCTTACCTGGGTGCTCGCGCACAACGGGTTAAGATTTCCAACGCTATCTCTAACCCCGCATGTGTGAAGAGTGGAGTCATTCAAGGTAGTGTGCTTGGACCGCTTTTATTGTATCCTTTTGTGAACGATGTATCAGATTTATTTCAGAATGGTAAGCCCTTCATTTATACCGATGATCTGAACGTTGCCTATCGATATAAGCCGGCAGATCAGAACATCTGGCTCAAATTCATAAAGAGCGACCAACAGGCCTTTGCTCAGTGTGCGGCACATGGCGCTTTTCTCTCTCTTGACGTAGATGCTCAGTCGTGGTGATTGGCGACGACTACCAGCCCCAACTAAGTATTGACGGTCAAGTCATAAATGAGCTCGGGGTTATTAAGGATCTGGGTGTATCGTACTCCAAAAGTCTCAATCTTTCGTAGCACGGCGCCCTGACAGTCTGCAAAGCACGTAGAACGGCCTGGTTTATCCTCCGAAACTTTAAAACTAGCGACATTGCAGTGCGCATTTATAAAATGTGCATTCGACCTGTCCGGGAATACTTTTCGTTTTTATTTAGCCTTGTGCGTGCTCCTGACCGGAAGGAAATAAAGTCCATTCGACATTTTTTTTACCAAGAGAGTTTTAACCCCGGAACACCGACATTTGTCTTACCAAAAACATTTCCGACTTACAGGCCTTTATCCTTTGTGGTTTCGTAGATTACAAAAGGGACTATTTTTGCTATTTAGGCTTTTATATAATCGTACCTTTGAAACATCTTGTACATCCCTTACGTAGCAGCCTAAGTGAGGTCCTTTTATTCCTTCCTCTTGCACGTACCGCTAAATATCTCCGATTATTTTCTGTGAATACAATTACTATTTTGGATAAACTATCCAGGAATGTGAAAAATCTGTAAAATTATCCTTTGTTTAAGAGAATTATTACTCGTTTTTTTGCATTCGGAAAAGCTTCCACAGATGTTGGGCGCCGAGTCCGCCGATAGAATATACCGTACTGTTGGCGTGCGTGGCCTCTGATCCCCTTGGCCGGTCTCATCAAGGACACTTTCTTAAGCCGTCAGAGAACAAACGTTCTTCAGCGCCTATGTTTAGTTCGGTGCCGATTTCATGAGAGGTACTTGAGGCTGAAAACATCCGAATCAATTTTAGCCATCCCTTTCTGGACTACCGTCATCTCTCGGCCAGCAGGTTCTTCTCCCGATCCATCTAAACTGCAAAAACACCATCTTCTGAGTTTTTTTCTAACAGTTTTTTACTGTTGGCAATATTTGTGTTTAATATTTCTCTGACAACGCCTGTTAACTGGCATTCAAACAGTCATTATTATTATTATTATTATTATTATTATTATTATTATCATTATCGTTATTATTATTAATTTTCCTTAAATGCCCCTGTAGCGGCCGAGGACGTTAAGGGTAGCACACACCGGAATAAAGAAACGCCGAGAAGAGATCCTGACGGAGGTAGACCTGAACAGAACTGTTAACATCTCTCGAAACTCGTTCACAAGCAGAAGAAGAGAGTACGTCGAGTATGGATATAGTGTAATGGAACAACTGATATGAAGAATGTATATAACAAACGTTAATGTACACGAGCAACGAGGAACAGCAAATAGGTGACCTGTCTGGATAGATAGACGACCCTGCGTACTAGCTAAACAGCCGGTGGGGATGCAGCGCTGTGGGCAACTGCTGGGAAGGGCCGAGGGAGCCGACACTGAGTGAGAGAGCGAGAGAGAGTCGAGAGTGGCGGTTCGTTGCGGGAGGGGGGTCGGCGGTAACGGGAGGATGGGACACCGGCCGTCTTCGCCAGCACGCAGTTAGGCCATCTCCATCCTAGGTCCGCGCGCCAAAAGTGTCACGGCATTCAAACAATGCTGTTCAAGTCCAGGGGCGTTACACCCCCTACTCCATATTTGTCTGCTATTTACGCTTGTACTTGTGTATACCTGATCCCTATTACATATAATCTTTGCATCTTTTCCGACGTCTTTTATAATTCTTGTAGTGTTATCAGGCCTTCCACGTATTCATATCAAATTAGGCGTTCGGGTAATCATCATACAATTTTTGATACTGAAATTTGCTGCTGCGCTATCTTCTTTTTTCAAACTGCGTCGTAACTTTTTGATGAGCCCTTGAATTTATATCTGGAGTTTTTTTTAGTGTAGCAAGATGTTTAGGGGTTTAAATTCTTAAACAAGCAAGACTGTTAAATTGCAGATTAAAACTCTTTGTTTTAATTAGTTGCATGGTTGGCTCTCATTCTGTAGTTGCTTGCGAAGTAGATGATGAGCTTGGCCCACCCTCTGCGCACCGATGCCCCTCAAAAAGTTGTAGAATCACCCCGTAGAACTGGAAACAGAGCCCAAAGGCCGAACAATCGTACGTGTGTCTGGTTTTTCTATCTCCTTTCTAGTGTACGGCAGTAGAAACAAGTCGGAGTCGCCGGCCCCCGGCCAACGAAGCCTAACTGGCGATCCTTATTATCAGTCTGCAGAACAGCAGGCTGAATTCAAGAAACTCGAGGAGTCACTAATTAAAAAAAGTGGCACAATACGTTTTGGAAAAGAGGTGTGCTATGTTTTTAGTGCTCATGTTTTTGTAGCAAATTCGCGCTACCAAAGACGACTTTGTTCACATGAAATGTCTGGGCTCCGGAACTTGCGGTGTTGTTAATCAGATGCGTCATAGGTCTCGTCCGGAATTGATTATGGCTGTGAAACAGATGCAGGTTTCCTCAAGTTATTCGAACGAGAACAAGCGTATCATGATGGATTTGGACGTGATTACCAAATGCAGTGGCTGTCCTAACATCGTCCAGTGCATGGGCATATTCTTTTCCAGAGTAAGTTTTTCCCTTATCACTATTCTCACCCGTTAAATTAATAGAGTGAGGTCTGGATATGCATGGAGGTTATGTCAACATGCCTTGATAAATTACTAAAGGATCTGAAACAACCATTTCCTGAACACGTTCTTGGAAAAATCGCTGTTTCGGTAAGCGACTTTGTGCGATGTTATTTTGTCACAGATAATCAAAGCTCTAGACTATCTCAAAGTGAATCACAACATGATGCACAGAGGTTCGGTCCTTTTCTTCTCTTCATTTCCTTGTAGACATAAAACCCTCCAACATGCTTATTAGTTCAAACGGAGAGGTGAAGCTGTGCGATTTCGGAATCAGTGGACAGTTAAAGGATTCAATTGCTAAGTCAAGCCAGTTGGGGTGTATCGGTTACATGGCCCCTGAGCGATTGGAAAAGCACCAATACGATGTCCGGGCAGACATATGGTCGCTCGGCATTTCTCTCATAGAACTTGCGACAGGCCATTTCCCTTACGGCGGCGTCGATTTTGAAATCGCCATAGTCAGCAAAATTCTTCATGATCCTCCACCAGTTCTCCCAGTGGATGGGAATTTTACCCAGGATTTCCGTTCCTTTATGCAGAAATGGTATGTTAACACGAGTTACCAACATTAAGTTTGTTACGAATTTGAGTACTTTCGTAGTATGTGCTCTTTGTTCTATGAGTACGTTTTTGTGGCCTCTCGACTGACTTGCACCCCTATCAATTTTTTAAATCTGTCTGTCGGACCCACGATCCTTTAGAGTGAGAATGTGCTTAAATTTCGTTTTCGGGGAATAGCGCACTTTGGAGTTATATTTGATGCCCTTGCCGCTGTCCTGACTTGTGTGTAACAAAACTGGATTTAAATGTTTTAGAACAGTTCTTGATCAACAAATTAGTTTCTTTCGTCATGGGGTTTTTAATGCCTCTAGTATCAATTTTTAGCCTTACTACAGAGCTTGAAGTTCATTTCGAGGCCACTGTAACTGCTACTCATTCGTTTTCCATTTTCAGTCTGACACGGAATCAAACAGATAGACCAAAGTACCCTGCACTCAAGCGTACGGAATTTTTCCTCAAACACGACGTTTACCCTCATAATGTAAATGAATGGTACACTAATCTAGCAATCAAACATCGCAATGAGGCAACACAAGAGGCTACGTTTGATTCCACCGTCCCATTTTGGCAGTTACTGGGGTCGCCAGCTAGTTCACCCGCCTCAACCGTTACTCCAAGTTCGGACATAAATCATACTTTCGACTCGACCGAACTCCTTAATCGAGCTGGTGATAGCGTCGAAGATTGTGCCGAGGGTCCTTCATCCTCATTTATTGAACCTCTATCAACTGATCCACCACGATTTTTGACTCAGAAGTCCATGCCGTCCAAGCAAGCTGCAGAATCACACCTGGCTGATGAACCTAGCAAACCAGGCCCCAACGCCAGTGCATTTTCACTTCAGTCATTATTGAGGTCACAGGAATCATCAGGATACGGATCTGCCAGCTCCAACGGCTCACCTGGCTGTCATTTGTGCCGTCCCAACGCTACTGCACCCACAAATGCAAATTCTCATCGATCTTCGGTCACTTTGGACTTGGATTCTTCACAAGCGAATCATAACTGTGAAAAGTTCTCTACTCCCGCTAACAGTACCACGCAGGTGACCTTACGTGTTAACGGGCGCCCCCGACAATCTGTCTTTGAGTCCAGACGCAATGCAGTTTATAATCCAGGGGAAGGAACTGTTGTTGAATTTCGTGACCATGGACAGAGCTCATCCATTGGTTTGGCTGAGAACAATAGTTCCGATCAGTGGAATGCGCCTCCCTCGGCTTCCCCCATTCTCTTCCCGTACAACGCCTCAGGAGGCCATATTCTCATGTCACGATATCCTTACGCCCTTTCTCATGATCCAGTGGCGCCATCCCAACCCCATTATTCCTACACTGCCCCAAACTCCTCCGGCACACACTCTCGTCCCTCAGTTCTCCCGGTGAGTATTACTCCACCGCCCACTTCAAGACTTAACTCGGGCGCAGGACCCTCCCGAAATCCCGACGCAGTTGACTCCGAAGCTTTTTTGGCCTACAATATAGGCCCTAGCTTTTCGCGTGCAAACAACCACACATCACCCTACGGTTGTTTGGACTGTCGCAATCAAGTTGGAAGTACTGTCGCGCGTCCGGTCACCCTCTCTCGACCCCCTCGTTCGGCCTCAGCTTCTGGTCGTAAGTTGCATAGGGCCCCAGCCTGCAGATGGCCGGCGATGCCATATGATGTACAGATGGCCACTTCAGGCCTTAATCCTGTCTTCACATTTGTACCCAACTCCGCGTGCCGTTCGGAGAAGGACAGCCCAAAAACTACTGTGCAGACTGCACTGCCTCCACCGTCCCATGGACCGACAATTTCCGGTGCAACACCCGAGACTTCTCAACCAACTGAGCCCCAACAATATCATCATCAATATTTTTGGTACGCCCATCAGACTAAACCACTTGACGGCCGTTCTATTAGTGTTGCCTCCCCGCCTCCCTCCACAACACCTGGCTCAATTTGTGCCACCACAACGACTTCCCCACTCGCTCCGCCGAGTGATTTTAACAAGTCAGTAGCTGCTGCACAGTCACCGTCTTCTCCACTCCCGCCCCAATCCGCCTTATCGGCACCCAGTCCCCTCGCCCGTCGGTATTGTCGGGCAGGTAACAGTGGCGGAATAGTGTGCGCCAGCGGTGACCATCAGGCCGAGTCTAATCTCTTTTTCCCCGAACTACGCTTGCCATACAACCGCTCCTCTTCACAACCAGCTCCACTTCGAAATATCCCCCTGTAGTAGCAGTGATCAGGACGGGCAAGACCGATGCCGACTTCGTCTTTCACTGGATCGAGCCCTCGTACTTATGTATGCGTAGGCCAGCGTTTATTCCGCTGTCACCACCTCGAACCTATTTGAGAAATTTGTACTAATGTTTTTTGCCTAGTTTACAATCCTTCTGTGCACACTATTTTTATATTGTTCTTTGTTCCACCCGCACTCTGTTTACGTCGCTCCTTTTAGTGAGACTCCGTTTTCTTTTTGTCCTCATTACCAGCCCACTTCTTTCGCAAACACTGCTTTTAAAATGCAGCATGAGCTGGGAAACCTACTTCTGGTCCTCCCCCGCACAAAACTTCCGCCCCTTGGTCCAGCAAATGCTTTTCGATCCCCCTTCAGTGTAATTACTCATCCTTCCTTTTATTTACGGCCCCTCTCTGCTTTTCTCTAGTTTACAATGCTTCGATGTTCTTTCAGTGTTCTGACGACAACTCTCCCCTATCCAAAGATGACGCATTTACTTTCTGCATCTTTTCCATTATCCCGTTTTTTAGTCTCCATACTTATAATTTCAGTTGCCGGTCTATTGTCAGGCAGACTTTTATAAAGTTTAGTATGCACTGCTGGCTGTCTTCTTAGCTCTCCGTATAAAATTGGCCATTTGTGTCGCATACTCTTCACATGTCGTGTTTGGTCAGGAGTTGTACAGTAAGGAGTCGGCTTGCTTATTTGGGTCTTCATATCGGATCTGGTAGGGCTTTGTAAGATTGCTTTCCCGCCGCCCTGTCCATTCCGATACACAATTTCTAGGCTTTCTTCACCATTAGTGACGGATAAGTGTCCGCTTGCTGGTCTTCAACTGGGTTGGTGCTATTTTACGCCCCATTTGCCAATGTCACTACCAGAGGTCGATGTTGATTGTGGGATGGTTTGGAAGGTCGCCTGGTCCGGTTCGATCATTCTAGTCACTGGTAACGATAAGTTTATCATGCGGGAGACGCCTCTCCACTGGCTAGTGCAACTGTGAGTAGAAGTCCGGTCACGCTGGTAGGCGTCGGGCGTGAACACATAGGCAGGAACAACGTGGGTTCTGATCAGATATCTGCCCAAACGGACGTGCGCTAATCAGTATTTGCTTGGTTCTCGCGCAAACGGCTATGAATTTGCCTTCCATCTGGGTGATTGTCGCATTACGTCTGACGGAGGAATTGTGTGAATCGGTGTGGTACGAAGAGAAGGGATTGGCCGAAGGGATCATGATTCCTCGAGGTCTAAGTTCGATACAAACTGCAAACATCAGCATCCTGATGGTAGTGGCGGAACGTGATCCATGATTTCTAGCAGTCCACCACAGTAGGTTAGGACACCAACGCGATGTCGAGCGGTCGTGGGTCCGGCCCTGATACTGCAGTGACAGTATGCGATGGGATTGAAAGTGCGAACAGTCAAACAGAAGACGGACGGACCAGATTGTCCTTATCAGTGCTTTCAGACGTCGACGAACATTCAAATGATTCTCCGGTGGCAGGGTCGCACCCAGTACTTGTGTTCACCCCTCAGAAATCAGCTCGAAGACAGGTGTGCACCTCGATCTGGAAAGGCGATGCTTGACGGTTTTACTCTTCTTGCAAGGTTTTCTTCCTTAATATGTCTCGCGTTTACGTGGCTTCTAGATATCTCTAGCAGAGCGCGAACGCTGATGTCTGACGCGCTGATCGTGATTGGCTGAACTGCTCGTATTAACGAGTTACTCTCGATCCAAACTGAACCATACCTGACCTAGTAACGTGCCATGGAATGCTGCGTGAAGTGTGCAGTCTACTGGCAGAGCATGCGGTGTGCGCATTTTGGTTGACATGCTCTATCAAGTGCGCTTGGCGGGATCACGCCAGGGCCATGAAGAGTTCGTTTTGTAACTGACTGCTATGCAGTATCAGGGCCATAAGCCCTGTCGGTAAACGAGATCTGCTGCGTGTGAATTTCGCCGCAGTCTCAAAGTCCCCGAATTAGCATTTTCGAGCCGCTATTTGCCTGGCTTTTGTGGAAAGCAATGTTGGCAGGGAGGTCGTGTAGGAACATTGCAGTCTTCTGCCACGGCGACTTTGTATCATCTGCCAAGAAGAAGAACTGCCTCGATGTCGTTTAAGTCATTTGCTTTCTCACGCGAAATTGCCTACCGGGTTTGCGTGATTTACTTGGACGAGCCCCATTTTAGGCCGCTCTCTGTATCGCAACATATGGATCGATAAACGCCGAAAGTAAGGAAACCTTCAGATTAGCATGAACCGGAATATTAGCCGGTTGCATAGACTAGGGCATCTTAGTTTTCCATTCTAGTCTAATGCACTGATTTCAGGGAAGAACCCCCTGAGTGCACACCGTCACGGGGAAGCATCGGAAGGAAGATCGAAGTGGTTGTTCGTGATTTACTCGTCTTCAGCCAGCCGCGGCATTCAAAGTTGCGCGGCCGTGACGTTTGGCGATTTGTCCTGACTGCGGGACAACCTACCGATGTTTACTTTCAGAATCACCTGTCATCGTGGTCAAGACTTTTTAATTATCGATCACTCGTCATCGTCGTCCAGGAAACGCGGAGCGTCTGTACTTCGTTCTGGAATCAGGACAGGTCAGTGGACGCGGCCCCAATGCGACAATTGGCTTTATTTTTCTTCGTTCCCACACAAGGTCAGTTATTTTTCCTAAAAACTTGGTGATGAGAGTATCACAATTTGTGGTATTTCTAATAATATTGTTTTTTCTTGAAATGCTTTAGATCTAGAAGGGCTCGTTATTCATGCATTTCAGTACGCGTTTTTAACGTTTCCTAAATACGTGGTACGTATTCTACCTAAAAATGCTTCCATAAAGGCAATTCTGCAGCTAACTGTGATTCCGAATTCATCAATAATACCTGGCATAGCCTTCAAGTAGGATCAAGGTACCTCAGGGAACCAGTCCACTTATACAAGGACTCCGGTTAAATAGTCCTTATTGAACCCAAACCTTTTGGATAGATTGGGCAGCCTGCAGAATTATCCGGTCTTACAGTAAAGAACCAATGGTTTCTTCAACTTGTGGGTTCTCGTCTTCTCATTTTTTTGCCTTTGAGACGATTCCTGCCATCTTTCGAACAATGCCCATTTCTTTCGCAATTGACTTTGCTGTCTAACCGCACATATAATGGCAGGCTTCGACACGCTTGCTTCCTTTGTCAGCGAGTGACGACTAGCGTTGGTTCGTTGGTTTCCTACTTTATGGGATAGGACAGTCTTGCGAGCTCTTGTTAGATCTTTCCCTCGAATCGTTGTCGCTCGCGAATTCCCAGTCGTCATGACTTAGTCTTGTCAGGGGGCCCAGAAGGGTGAGGGAAGAGAGAGAGAGGGTTTGGCAGGTACTTCGCAAATCTGCCATCACAATGAGGGATTCACGTGCGAGCCACCGTTCCTATGCCTGCCATGCTATGGGACTACACAGTGGATATCATTTTTCTCGATGGTCCAACTGTGTGCTTGACCACGTCGGCCGAGGTTAGCGTGAGCTGATCAGGTAATGCCAGATTATCGATATACATCAAGGCCTCCGCACTCATGTCCCCGTAAACTGCTGCCTTCCCGCCGTCCACCTTTCCCCCCCTCCCCCTCCCTACTTTAGGCATCTTCGGTCGCCAGTTCGTTTCGACAAATGACGTATCACCACCATCGTCAGCGCCTCTCCAACATGCTCGCTTTCACGCCCTTTGTAAGCCTACGCAGACCATGGGACTAAACTCTCGGTCGTAAGACATGAAAGCGGGCACCCCCGTATGACCGGGGTGGTTTACCGCTAGATTCCAGGGGGCACCTGTTCCTGTGTCCTAGCCATGACCCTAACCTCGACCTCTCTGGAATTTAGCGCAAGATCACCTGTAATACGGGGCGTTACCTGTTCCCGTGTCGTGCCCACCTGACTATCAGAGCATATCTTTGTTTGTTCAAATTGAACGGCATCTTAGCAGCCGTGTCTTTTGACTTGCGATTCAGGAGAACCACCAGTCCAATTAAGGGAAGTGGTGGGTGGGCGATTTCACGGCGATTCACATGCTTCGCTTCTGTTGATTAACATTCAGCGTGAATAGGCAGTTCGATTGATTGGGCTTCATGACAAGTCCTCTTACTTTTCTAAATAACGGTCTTTTTGAATTTCGTTTTTCATATAATCATATAAATAAAAGGAGCCTTTTTTCAATGTTTTACAACGAAAAAGCAGCTCGGAATGGGAATAGAAGAAGTGATTTCTACACTGAAATATGTGTAGTTCTGAGTAAAATTACCCTAATAGACCTGCCACATACGGACTTGTCCCCACAACGTGTAGTTGGCCCACATAAGGCCGACTCAGGTGTCACATCAGTTGAGAAGGAACCATTACGATTAGTTACAGCAACGGTAGGGTGAAGGACCCTAATTAACCATCGGTAAACGGTGAACCGCGTCATATGGGGTCTAATCTTGGTATCCATTTATAGACCACTATAAACACTAAAATCCAGACAACGGTTACTTCCCATGACCTCAAACCATCGCTCAAACTCTGCTATTTTTTGAAAATTTGCTTTCTGTTTAGTTTTTAATTAACGCGCCATTTCTGTTGCCATGCGATGGCTTGCGACAAGACTTTCGGCAGAAGTCCAAGCAATTTCTGGGTTTTCTTTCATTTCGTCAGCTTACTGTCTGGCGTGCTGCCCCACCCGTAAAACGCCATTCCCGTAGGACACGATCCAGAGTCTGCTGACAGTTAATTGGGGTCCTTCACGCAACCGTTGCGCTTACTTAATGCACTTTCTTCGCCTCCAGTAGGCATCTCTGCTTCACATGGTACTCTTAATGCACATGAGCATTGGAACGGCTTCCCTGACCATCAAGCAATATCTTGTGCAAGGTGCGTCGATTGTGGTGACGTTGACTTTCCATACTCTCAGACGGGAGAAATGTGCAGGCGAAGAACGGGCAGAGTAGCGGTTTTAAGGGTGCCTGTCGGCA